TGTGTGTGTGTGTGTGTGTGTGTGTGTGTGTGTGTGTGTGTGTGTGTCACTTCACACACAGGACACGTCCTGATAGAAAGCAGAATGGGGGAAATCTGCTCTAACCAACTTTAGATCTCATTACTCCACACGTGCAGCAGCACAGACGCAGCTCTGCCACATGTGAAATAAAACACTGCAAAAATAACCAAAACTAACAACCAGAACCTTCCACGCAAACCATGAAATCCACCAAAACACAACCCCAACCTACTTTGGGGCTTTGACACTTTCGAGACTTAAACTCGACCACTACCATTTTGAGCTGAAACTCCTGTATATTTGCTGCATTTACCAAAACAGACGTTGATGATTAAAAAAGTCAGCAGGGTAGAACAGCTTCCTATAATAAACGCCCTGGTGATAATTAATTACACAGGCACTGCAGCCAAATCAAGACGGCAAGCATCCATTTTGAATCTCCTCGTAAATAATAAAACAACACAACAGATTTTTCCTTTTTTTTTGTTCAGCCCTTTTGAGAGGCAAAGGCTGGAGCGTTCAGGGACAATACTCAGAAATGTGTGGGCGGCTATTAGGACCATACATTACAATAACAGCCCTTATTGTATTAAATGCGCCGGATTATGGACAACATGATTGTAGAACAAGCACCACAGCAGCACTGAGTGCCTTGTGGGAATAAACACTGTCAAAATGACCATGTGGAAACAGACAGCATGACAACACTGGAGAGCTACAGCGACACAAACGTAGTCCACACACCGCTCTTTTCGTTCATTATATAAATAGCTTTAATTGTTTTAACCGTAAGAATATAAAACAATTTAATTTTGGGATTCTGCATTTTTCTTCTTCTTTACAAACACATAATATACAGTACATCTTTTTTATTTTTCAAACACACACACAGCTTTTTCAGCAGGACGCACATCCGTATATTAATTTTTCTAGCAGGTCATTGCATTACATTAAAACGTGCACACACAGGCCTCCGTGTGTGTGTTAATGTGTGTGTGTGTGTGTGTGTGTGTGTGTGTGTGTGTGTGTGTGTGAAAGAAAGGGAGAGATGGGGAGGTGAAGAGACGCAGTCCGCTTGTAACCCGACACGGAGAGAGAGCAAGAGAAATAATCGATGGCTCCTTATTCTAAGCATGTCTCAAGATGGATCGGGGGTATTTTTATTCAGGGAGAGATGGAGAAAAAAGAGGAGGAAGAAAAAAGATATTCTTACCCTCCTCTCTCTCACTCTCTCTCTCTCTCTGGTGAGAGCAACATGAATATGAATGCGACCTGTGTTACCGTTAACGTGGGAAAATAAAGCCATGAGACAAACCCTGATTTGTTTCGATCAATAAAGGGTATAAGATATAGAAATCACTTCAATTTGAAGTACGGCGCTCTGAACAACATCCACTGACATTTATTTCCACCAGCATCCCTCAGAAGAAATACCGAATATTCCTATAACATACTCACATGGATGTACAATGTGTTTACTAACGGCCCCATCATGTTTTTATCTCGCATTTTAGCACTAATATTCCTATACGTCTATTGCATTATTATAGGAGGTCTACAGGTATTTATTCTAAGGAAAAGCTGATGATCTTGTCTCCTTTTTATATTGACCAAAGCTTGAACACAACACATCTCTAAAGGGCATGAAAGTTGGACTTTATCCCCAAGGATGAGGAAAACAATAAAGAAAAGCTCTGGCACACAAGCGGATTTATGTTTAGTTTTTTGCCTTTTTTTGCATAAAGCGTCGTCATTAAAATCTGAATAGATTTTACAGCTTGCTGTCCCTTCGCTCTCTCCCTCTCTGGGAAAGTGTTGCTGTTTATGGGGGTAAATTAACAAAAGGTAGTTAGATTGTGTCCTGGTCTCCTTTCTCCAGCTCTGCTCATGGAGGGAGGGATGGGGGGAGGGGGCAGACACAGTCCCTTTAGGCACATTTTCTCCCAGTCTCTCATTCTCGCTTTCCTTCTGTCTCTTTTTTTTTTTTTTTTTTTTACAGTATACACCCTTTTGAAAACAACCACATACGAGGTAGCCAAATGTTTTAGGCGTGATGGCTGTAGCGGAGATTAGTTGTAAAGGTCTCAAATCCAGACTCACTGTTTAAGAATAAAAAATAAAAAGTTTTCAAACCTCACTTTGCTTTAAAACTAAAAGATGGATGCAAGTTTCACTTTTAAGAATTTTCTGGAAGCAAGTGCCAAGTAAGCAGATTATTCAAATGACATTCTTCTTTTTTTAAATATGTGAAACAAGCTGATTTGCATTGCAAGTTATCCAGTTTGATGTCAGAATGTCTGAGATATTAAAACTCAATCACGAGATCAAAGCAATTGTTAACGGGGATTTTCATGAGCTCGTAGCAAAAGTAAGTTTTAATTGCTTCCTACCGGGCAGAATATTAAGTTGTAGAAAACACTAATTGAAATCCTGCAAGGCCAGCAGAGAGAAAAATAAAACATCTGAACACAAAATATTGGTCACATGGGAGAAGCACACCGTACACAACCACACAGAAGGGGAAAAGGGAGGTTTTTCCTCTCTCTCTCTTTTAATAAGAAAAGAAGTTTACCCGCCCATCTAATACCCCTCCTCTTCCTCGTGTCCCTCTCTGTCCCCCATCCAAAAACAGAAAGAACAAAAACACGAGAAACACACTTTCAATCACCTCACTTTCTCACTCTCTGTCATCTGCCAGAGTCCCAGGTTCAACACTTTAAGGCAGGGGAGCTGCGTGATCCTCTCCAGTCCCCTCTTGGTGATCTTGGTACATCCATACAGGTCGATGCCCGCCAGCTGGGTCAGGTGGTCGGCTATGAGCTCCAGCCCTTTGTCCGTGATGCGCACACACTGTCCAATGTTCAGGGTCCTCAGCTCGTGCATCTGCCTCACCATCCGGTTTATCCCGTCGTCGGAGATGTGGCACGAGCACAGGGACAGGGACTTGAGCTGGTACAGCCCCTGGGCGATGTACGCCAGGGTCTGGTCCCCTATCTTATCGCAGAAGGACACGTCGAGCCCGGAGAGCCTCAGGGTGCCCATGGCGAGGTGCATGGTCCCCGTGTCGCTGATGTTGTCGCAGGAGCGTAGGTTAAGACTCCACAGGGAGGCCATGTGGGAGAGGTGGATCATCCCTGCGTCTGAGATACCCCCGCAGAAGCTCAGGTTCAGTACCCGGAGCTTGGTCAGCCCCTTGGAAATGTGTTTGAGTGACAGGTCCGTCAGTTTCTGACAGTCCTGGAGGGTCAGGTACTCCAGGTTCAAACAGCCCTCTGCCGCGCTGCGGGTCATGCCCGCCAAGTGTCCAATGCCCACGTCCGAGACGTGCCTGCAGGACCTTAAATTGAGGCTCTTGAGCCTGTGGAGGCCCCAGGCTATCAACAGGAGCCCGGTGTTGGTGATGTTGCTGCAACCGCCGAGCTCCAGCACCTCCAGGTTCTTCAGATACTGAGCTATCCTGCCCAGACTGGAGTCTGTGATCTGCTTGCACAGACTCAGGTTCAGCACCCTCAGCGACGGGATCTCCTGAACGAACGCGTGACCCAGCCCGTTGTCCGTGAGGTTGTAGCAGCCGGACAGATTGAGGGACTCGATGTTGGGCATCCCCTGGATCACATAGCTCAAGCTGCGACGCAGGGACAGGATCTGGACCCTCCGGATGCCCCTGGCCTGGAGGCTGGGGAACAGGGAGGGATTGGCCCGGCGGAGGTGCAGCTTGGCCTCCACCCCCCTCCACACTGACTTGTGGTAGGATGCGTCCCTCCAAGCGATACACACTTGGGCTACCCTGCCTTTGTCCCTCACATCCAGATAGCTGAAAATCATGGCCAAAATTTCCGGGAAGAGGCACGAAATGTGCGTCTCCATTGTTTTTCAAACCCCAGGCATATAAGAATTAATACTCCACACCTCCAAGGCTGAAAAAAAGAACCCACTCCCCTTCTCTTGCAATTATGCAAAAGTATCAACAGTACCAGTTATCCACAGAAGTAAGGGGAAAAAGAAATAAGAGTAGTTTGTTTCTCTTTTTCTCACATTGAACTGTGCAAAATCGATCCAACTCTCTCCAACCCCACGTGATCCTGTCTCGTTGCGCAGTAGGATTCAAATGCATTAAAAAAAAGGGGGAAAACAAAAAAAGCGTTTATTCCTGCCTCAACTTCTCTCTCCGCCAAAAAGAGGAGGCGAGGGGGGCGAAAGGAAGGAGGAGGAGAGGAGGAATAAGCGTCAATCCTTCCCCCTCTCGCTCCCTTCTCTCAGACGACGCTTCCTTGTATTATACCTACAAAAAGCCTTCCTCTCTCGGCCGAGCGGGGATCCAGACGGTCGTACATTTCAGTATAAGAAAGTAAAAAATAAAACCAACACTCTTAACACCGCCTATTAGAAAACATTTCCATGATAGAAAAGCAGGAAAGATAGAGCTGGGTTGGCTTTGTAGGCAGAGTGAGAGAGAGAGAGAGGGGCGTCCTGGGCTCAAAGCCTTTGTCTGCTCTTTTCAAACCGACTTGGCAGGGACCCCGGCACTCTCGCTGTACGGGAGGGGTGGAGGCAAGAAATAGTATTAATGGTACGTGTTAAAACATACTCAACAACAAATAACGTCGCTATAAGCGTCATAAGTACCCGTTCATACACGGAAAAGATGTGTGTTAATATTTTATAAATAACGCAGTGCTATATTAATTCGTGATTTTATCAAGGCACCCCTCTCTCCTCCATGTCAGGCAGTTGGTTTGTCCCGCCTCAGCTGGAACGGTGCGAACAGTTTCCCTTGGAAACCAACTTCTTACAATTCAGTTCACTTTGGGCTTTAACCCTTTGAGCGGACCACACAGGAAACACAGGAAAGCCAACTGGAGAAGCCCTTTTCACTCCGCTTACTTGGCATGAATGTGTAGTATTTCTTACTGCGATATTGCTGTTGTTATTGTTGTTGTGGAAATAGTGGTAGAGGGTCTCCAGAAGGGTTACAGAGCAGAATACAGTGCTCTTTGTCTCTTGTAAACATAATGTTTTTATCCACTCTCCTCTTTCACACTTGCAAAACCTCCCCCAAAAATATATTAAACTGTCTGACTGAAAACATGCAATAAAACGAAACACTCATCAGCTAATTGTGTTGATGTATAATAATGTACAAATAAGTAAAAAGCTGTCTAAACTCACTTCAACACACTTTATTGGCTTGGTAGGCTGCTGTGCCGGTGTGTGCGTAAATGTGAGTAGTGGGTGTATATATATATAAATCATAAAGTACCAAACTAATCACTTTGAAGCAGCTGCCTCACATCTGGCATTGCTTGAACTCATTTCTCTCAGCTGATAGTACTGAGAGTGTGTATGTGTATATCAATAATAGCTATTTATGGCAGATATATTTTCAAAAATTGCTTGTCAAAGCATTCAAATGATCAGATGCCACAGAAAAAGGTTGTGAGAAAACATTTGCTACTCTCTACCAAGTTTTAACTGTCATCCCCTGCAGTGGGCCTCTCTCACTCTCATAGTAGCCTTCTTAGCGTGTGCACATGTGTGTCTCAATGTTTATCTATATAGGGACTTGTATGTGTGTGTGGAAAGATAACATATGTCTGTGCATATGGGTTTTTTTTGTGCGTAAACAGTATATTTTTTATATGGTTGCAGTGCTCCCTCTAGCTTTTTGTAGGCTTCTCGCTCTCTCTCCCCCTCTGTGTGTGTGTGTGTGTGTGTGTGTGTGTGTGTGTGTGTGTGTGTGTGAGAGAGATAATATGACAGGGGAGCCGTTTGCTGAAGCCAGTGAAGTGTGGCAGAGAGGTTGAGAAAGAGGAAAGAGGCAACAGTGATCAGGTGAGGATAACAGAGAGGGAGAGGAGCTGCAGAAACAGGCCTTTTTACATGGAAAGAAGCAGCCGAGCACAACTGACAGCAACTCTCCTCTCATCCTCTCTGTTCTTCTCCTTCTCCTGTTTTTTTTCAAGTCTCTCTGAAAGTAATATATACGTGTAAATGTGGGTTTTTTTGCTTGCTGTAATCTTCCCTCCTGTGCATACTGGCTATTAAAGGATCCCATCCTAACATGTCTACAATTGAAGTCCTCTTTTTTGTTCTAAAATATATTTCAAAGTTTATCTGAAGTCAGCAGTCTGAGTAAAACAAATACAAATTTTCAAAGTTAGTCTTTTTAGTGAAAAAAAAGCCTTATTTTGTATCTCTTAAAAGATTCTAAAGACTATTTCTTCATCTTCCTCGTCTGAACTTCTGTTTCTGTCTTTTGGTCCTCTCCTATACATCAACTTGCTTTTGCTTCTTTCTCCTGCATATCTCTTTTTTCTCAACTCCAACTGATGGATGGGTGACATTAGTTTCTCCCTCCCTCTCAAATACAAATTATTGGCATGAATAATGCCCTCAATGAGGTCACCAGATATTTTCATAGCAAAATGTATTAATAACAATAACCGGAAGAAAACATATATTCCAGATTTACAATCTATAGACATATTTATACTTGCAAAACACAAGTGGGAACTCTTATGTAATCAGCATATGAGTCATATAAACAATGTGTTATAGAACAATTCATGTCATGTTATCATGGTCAGGCCTATCTGCACTGGAGAAAGGTCTGACCACACATATTTTCATTGTGCTACAGCGCTCTGGATTGTTTGTGTTTTGTCAAACCAATCACGATCAACCCTAAGCACAGGCTGCATCGGCAGTGCAAAACAGTGACACGTAGAAGAGGAGGAGAATGCTGCATGAAAAGCCCTTTGTTTTAGATTAAGGACAAAAAATGTATCGCAATTAATTCAGCATCTGTCATGTGTTATAAAATGTAAAATATGTACTTTTTATTGAAGTTATTTAATGGAGGTCTCACAAGCTTTCACAAGTCTATAAAGGCACATTTAGAGACTCTTGACGTAGCGTGATTTCTATTTCAGGTTGCCACAAAAGCAACTCCCTTTATGGAAAGCTGTTGTAAAAAGCAAACAATTCTTTGGTGTAAACATGGATTTGAATGTTTCAAATGTATCAAAACGACCAAAACTTCTGGATTCTGAAGTGCAAGGATCCTAAAATCGACTAAAATTGTCTGGTGACTATTGTTGATGCCCCTCTCTGCTTTTAACTTATTTCCTGTAACTTCATCAAGGACACAAACCGAGCAGTTAACTTGACTGTCCCCTGTGGCTGTCAACACCTATGTCCTTGATGCTCGGGCGCACAGTGTGTCATGCATTTTCAAAATAGAGATCCTGACATGAATACCAAGCTTTATAATGATTGTGTTAACGCCTTGAGTTACAGAGGAGGAGATAAACACCAGCTTCCAGCTAAATGTGGCTAAATTATGACGATGGCTAGTCAGTCAGTTTGCTGTAGAAACAGTCTGGGATTAAACGGGGGCTCAGAAAGAGGCTTGTTGGGTTCAAAATGTAAAGAAAATACCCAGCCAACATGGGTTTGAGAGTGGCACCGACACTGTGTTGTGTTGGAGGTTATTAGCAAACTTTTTAATGTCCGTACAATGTCTCTACAGCAAGATGATCGCAGACAAGAAAAGTAAAGGAAAGAGAGAAAGAAATAGAAAAAAAGATGGAGGATGTAGAAACAGAGAGGCGGATCTATATGCCACAGGCTTTTTCTCTTCAGCAGCAGTAGCTGAGTCTGTGTGTGTGTGTGTGTGTGTGTGTGTGTGTGTGTGTGTGTGTGTGTGTGTGTGTGTGTGTGTGTGTGTGTGTGCGCGTGCGCGTGCGTGTGCACTGCTGTGGTGTGTCATACCTCTCCCAGAAAACCTGCTGGGCCCTACTTAGCATTCACACTGAGTGAGAGAGGACAGAGAGAGATGGATGGATGGATGGATGGGTGAGGGAAGGGAAGGAGGAGGAAAAAGTGAGAGGGGTAAAATAAGAAATGGGTCAGAGAAAAGGGAGGAAGAGTATTTTTAGAGAATGTATCAGAAGTGATGGAGAGAAAGAAACAGAGGTGTGTGTGTGTGTGTGTGTGTGTGTGTGTGTGTGTGTGTGTGTGTGTCATCTGCCCAAAGTGTTCCACAACCTCTCCTAAGATTCTACTTGTCATGTGACCCATCGTGTGTGTGTGTGTGTGTTTGTGTGACTAAATGTGTGCGTGTTTGATCATTCAGGGGAGGGCTCTAACTGCATAATTGCGACAACGTGCTTCATCTTCACCCCTGCAGCGGCTGCTGGTTGCCAAGGTTACGTGGGCGTGTGTCAACACGTCGCCCTGAAAGCCGACACCTTCCTGAATAGATATTACTATGACTCTGTAGATTCTCTCCCGCACACATGCGCACACACACACACACACTCACCAACATATGAAAGAGAAAGCAGACATTAACAATGCCCTGAGGTGCACTAAGCTTGTGTGTGTGTGTGTGTGTGTGTGTGTGTGTGTGTGTGTGTGTGTGTGTGT